GTGTGTACGTACGCCCACCGAGGCCAGCGAGGACACTGGATTTTCTGGAGGTGGAATGACGTCAGCTGCCCGAAGTGGATTCTGGGAATGGAGTGCAGCGCCTGTAGAAAAGCACCGCGTGCTTGTACCTGCTGAGCTGTCTCTCCAGCCTCCCAGTGAAAGGTCCCAAGTCGTCGGAATAATCACATACAAGGGTGGAGCATGAGGCCAGTGTTTCCTCAGGAGAACATCATTTCTGACGGGAGAAAGAAGTCTAGGAAATGAGAGTTTTCTTGAGAGTTTTATTTTTTCCATTCGCTCGTTGTTTACCAGATTATGTCATGGATTCTAAAAATAGAATTACAGTGAATTAACGTAGGAATCTATGCAGAAAGAAAGCTATGTTTTAGAACCTGCAGATCTGAGGTTTCAGCCAGAGCGGTGTATTTGTTGAGTTAATAGACAACTAAAGATTGTACAAAACACCACTTCCGAGACCACTTATGTAATACTTCTTTAACAAACACAGAGTGGGAATGTAAAGAAGATTAACATCTCTCTAACATGGTGAAGTTAATATTGATTAGAAAATCCAGTTATCACTACAATTTATTTTTGATAGATCCCAAGATGGCTGTTTGTTGCAGGGGGACTTCTGATTTAATTGGAAGGATGGAGTAATTAGCTGTATTCTCAGAGCAGCAATGCAATGAATTTCTCGTGTCTCAGAAATGTGGTCGAGATTTCTGTTTTGTTTCATCTACCAATAGGGCTTATCCACCTGGGAAGCCCCTTGTTTTATCAGGGTATAATTTTTTCACTTAAAATGTTTGGTAATTGTGTGTTTATATAGTTACTTTTGTTAGAAGGGGGAAACCCTTGAGTTTAACAAGACTGGCTGTAACTTGCCCCTCTCTCCTGTATCCTTATGATCCCGCCCATCTTTTCCCTAGAGTCTGACAGGCACCTACTGAGGGCTGCTTACTCTCTGCCTCTGACCAATAGATCTTCTGGAAGGCTGACCTGGAACTCTGTTGATTATATCAGAAAGCAACACTTCCACAGAAAACAGAAAGTGCTACATTTGGTTAAACAAATAAAGGTTTATTTATCTTGTGCATTACAAAGTCCATGGTGGGTGCAGTGGCTTGGCTTGCCTCCAAGGTCCCAAGCCTTTTCCATCATTCACCCTTTGTCTTTCTGGGAAGTCCATTCCTTTGCTGGCATTAAAGCCATCTCCAGGATTCTGGTGTATACTGAAGACCAGCTGAGACATCCAGACTGAACAAATACTAGATCCTTGGATTTTCCATTGAGAGACATCCATGCTTGTAAGCCACTGTAATAAATGTGTGTGTGCGCATGTGTGCACGCGTGTGCAGAGCTTAAGCATAGGGGGCCTCAAAGATCACCTCTCCAGTGACACACTTCCTCCAACAAGGCCACACCTCCTCCAATAAGGCCACACTTCCAGTAGTGGCTTCCCCATGGATAAGCCATTCAAACACAAGAATCTATCAGAGGCTAAACCTATTCAAACCACCAGACGGTGAAGCAGTCACAGAAATGAGAACTGAGGAGTGGTGAATACAGACATGGATGAAATTCTGGAGACAGGCCTAGGCTGGAGATGTGTCTGAGATTCACTAATGCAGAGTAAGTGAATTTATTTAGAAAAAAAAAATGAACACAGTGTAGATCAAAATACTGATAGTCAAAGATCAGAAGAGCTGAGAACAGCCACGCAGGTAATAAACAACACCATGTGTGATATGTCATGTCTTGGGAGCAAGGAGGCAGGGGAAGGGGTGTCCCTAGTGGTAAATAATGAGGTAAAGGCAAAGGGGAATTGGGAATTTTCCCCCACTTTAATTTATTATTATATATACATATACTTTTGAGACAGGCTCTCTCAGGGCCAGGTACTTGGAGCAGAAGCATAATTGTCTTAGTTATGTTTCTATAGCTGTGACAAATCACTATAATCAAAAAGCAAGTTGGGGAGGAAAGGCTTTATTTGACTTTTACTTCCACATAGCTGTTCATCATTGAAGGAAGTCAGGACAGGAACTCAAGCAGGGCAGGGATCTGAAGGCAGGAACTGATGCAGAGGCCATGAAGAAGTGGTGTTGACTGGCTTGCTCAACTTGCTTTCTCACAGAACTCAGGATCCCCAGCCCAGGGATGGCACCACCCACAATGGCCTGGGACCTCTCTCATCTATCACTGGTTAAGAAAATGTTCCACAGACTTGCCTACAGTCCAATCTTATGGAGGCTTTTTCTCAGTCGATATAGGTGACTATAACCTGTGTCAAGCTCACATAAAACCAGCCAGCACAGGCACTAAGAATCTTCGCTGGAGGACCAGACACTGCTAAGTGTAAGCCAGAAAATCAGTCAGAGCCTAAGCTGATCCCATTGCTGAGTCTTGAGTTTCTGAAGAACCCCTTGTCAGCTTCCTCCCGAGGCACACTGAAGACTGAGGGCACCGGCCCCCTCCCCTCGATCTGGAATGTTCTTCAGATCTCCACAAGATTGCTCTTCTTCCCCTCAGTCTAGTTCTAAGTTCCCTCAATAAGACCCACCCCAGCATACACTACAATGGCAACTTGCTGCTGACCCTCTGGTTCTGCCCTGTCCTGCCCTCTGTCCTCAGGTAGGCTGACACCAGCACACACCCATTTCATTGGTGTTTTAGTCTCTCCTGGATGGGGTAGGGATATAAGCAACTATGAGGTCCTGCTAACAGAGGACAAGACAGGTTGGGAAGAGAGGGAAGGATGGAGGAGACACCAGGAAGGAAGGAGGAATTCTGCCCCCAGGAGGAAGAGATAAGAAGAACAGAAGAAAGAATACTACAAAGACATATTTAAGATGGGAGAGGCGTGGACAGGGTCCACTTGTGAGGGGTCAGCAGAAGATAAAGATACAAGAAAACAGATGGACATAGGTCTGAGAGTGTGAGGAGAAATACAGATCAGAGTATGGGTGGAGATGGGAGCCCTGGCCAATCCAGGGCCAGCAAAACACCTCCCCACATTCTCTGCAAGGTGACAGGCACAAGTTTTCCAAGAGGTTTGTATGCTGGGTAACAGCTGTCTCCTGGAGTTTTAAGCCTTATTATTTTTGTTATTATTATTATTTGGCCTGGGACTCAAACTCATTTCCAGGTGTGACTTGGACCCACCAGTTTTAAAAGCAACACCCTACCCTACTCCATCACCATCCCCAACTCGAGTGGCCTAGAAGGTTCAGGGATGACCTTTGATCCTGGGGGATGAAGAAAGGACGGACAAATGCTGAGTCAGGGATAAATATCATGGGCAATTTCTGTCTGCCCTTTTGTTTCTTCCACAAGCAGGTGGGACCCTGCTGTAACTCGGTTGTGTTGCTGGTAGTGGGCTGTGACTGGGGAAGAGAAGGGAGTGGGTTTTCTTTCTTATCAGAGTATGCTAGCAATCGCTGCTGTGGTAGCCGACTGAGAAGGCTCACTGGGGAATAGATCACAGCGATGTCTATCAGAGGTTGTGGATGTGAGGTCATAGCTGCTAGCACATGCCTGCTTGTGCTCGGCAGCCCAGGTACAGGCATAGAGCTTCAACCCCAGGGTGGAGTTCTTAGTTTTGGCCAGCTCAGCAAGTTCAAACAGCATGGCAGTAAGTCAAAGTGTCCAGGCCGAGTGACAGAACAATGGAAGCAAAGGTTGGTCAGGAAATGAGGTGCAGTTAAGGGGCCTGATAGCAATCACACCGAGGGTCCCATGAAAGGCAGCAGAGGTGATCAAACTGTGATCTGTGTAAACATCACCTGGGAGAGCCAGATCCTCAGATTATTCAGTAGGTCTCGAGGGAAGAACCAGAATCTCCGTTTTAAAAAGGCTCTTAGTTGATGCTGACCTTAGCAGGCTATGGACCAGTTTCCAGGAAAACATTGCGTTTGGAATTGTAGTAAATTTAGGTAGGAGAGGAAAGGAGGGATGGGTGGAGAGGAAAGAAGAGAGGCAGGAGGGGGAGAGAGAGAGAGAGACAGAGAGAGGGAGACAGATAGACACACAAAGAGAGAGAGAGGAGAGAGAGACAGACAGACAGACAGAGGAGGAGGAGGAGGAGGAGGAGAGAGAGAGAGAGAGAGAGAGAG